GTAAGACAGTGCTGCTATGCAAAGAAAGAGGTATAGACGTCTTGACGACTTCCTTTCGGTCGGCTTGTTGTCTGTAGTCTACAGACTTTCGGACGAGTCATCTTCAACAGCTCTAACACTGCACTTTCGGTCGGCTTGTTTTCTGTAGTCTACAGACTTTCGGACGAGTCATCTTCAACAGCTCTAATACTGCACGGGAAGAAAGGCAGCCATAAGAGCAGACTTCCTAAGGCTTCTCCACTACCGATCATATCCGCACGGGCGCAAGACTCACTGAAACAAAGAGGAAATTCAAGATGCCCTTATGTCTCGTGATCACAAAGTTTTGGGCGAGATGGTACCGTCAACAATATTTGCTCGTGGAATGGCCGGACTATGGTTGTGGAATGGCCCAGAGCTCGCACACAATATTGAACAACTTTGGTTGCCTTGCCATTCATAGGATTTAACGATGGGAAACAAAAATTTGGCAACAATGCACTCTAACGATACTTCATTCGGACTTGAAACTCTGCAGACTCGATTGATGGTACCGAACCCCTACCAGATGTCAGCTTACTCCCATGACAACCTTTTGCGGAATGCTCACCCGTGGTCCGATAGAACATAGATAGGTACGATAGATAGCATCTTGCTCAAAATTCTTCCACACAAAGTCACAAGAATACAGAATTTTAGTGCAAGAACAAGGTGCTCCCATGGCTCAGAACCTGGTAGAGCTTTGGGCAAGTTGGCATGGTACTGCCAGATAAATGGGGGAAGCCGTTAAAGGACCGCAAAGAAGCAGACTTCTGGGAGCAGTTCGGTACAATGAATCATGTCTGCAGAGGTGCAAGACTAAATGAACTGTCACTAGAGTGCATTGTTTCCCATTCTTGTTCCCTCCTTAAAACATGGATGCTCCGACAACCAAAATGTCCCACCCGATGTACAAGTTCTATAATACCTTCACTACCACTCCACAAGCAACTCACCATTGACGGTACCATCTCGTAAAAAATTTTCGGATCACGAAGCATTGAACTCTTGTTTCTCTTCGATGGTGCTTGTGACTGTGAAATTGTTGTTGTTTGACCGCAGTGAATCCCGTACGGCCTCATGCTTATTTGCATGACCGACCTCTATCCAGTGTTCTGCCGATTCTGTTGAGGACAGGTCGTGTAGAAACATTTTGCACAGAAGGTGGCTTGGGCGGTATTTGTAAACATGACTCGGGATCTCCTTAAATGCAACCCACTTCTAGCGGTTTCCCATGGGAACGGTTCCCATGCATTCTGTCAGGCACGCTAAATAGTCAAGCTAAGGATAGGGCTGTGAATGGGGTCTTCATACTTCATAGTCCCGGTTCAATCCACCAGAACTGGGTGGCATACATTTTTTCTTCGACTTGATGGCATGGCTGCTTTCAATTCTGCCTCGGGCGGTGTAGGATTGGTTGTTCGTCGGAATTCAATCCGTGTGACTTCCTTCATCGCGGATGTTCCCCTCACCATGAGCGGCTTCGGGTGCTCTTCTTTGTTTCAGATCTTGTTTTACTACTATTTTTTGCACAGTATGCTCTTCCTCTGCTCTGTGGCTCTGAATATCGGCACGGTACGACCCTTCGAGGCAAAAGGCTTCCAGCGACGTAGATCACTCCATAACGAAATATTGGTTTTGCTTCCGTTTCCAGTCTTACGTTCCTCACCGTTCATTCACCCCGGTCATGGATAGCAGCGTGCTACTCATATGATCATCGGCCCATTAAGGCTATAGATGTAAGCATGGAAATGACCAGTCCAAGCATCTTCTAAGCATGCAGTTACCTCCGTGTACCGAGCGGTGATTACGTGATTGCACAATTCTGCCACAACCTGGTAGGTGGAGTACCGGAGTACATACGGCTTGAGCTGGGAACAGAACAAATTTCTCTACTGTAGTGAAAGATGGCAGACCACCAGGGCATGCCGCCAACTGATATTTAGCGCAGCGCAACAGGAGAAACGCTCATCTGTAACCAGGCCTGCCACTAAACTTTTGCAGACCACTGACTGTAGCCTGGAAATTTTCATTGTTTCAATCGGTATTCTTCGAATTTACAAGGAGAGGACACAAAGCCTCATTGGTTTCGAACGCTGATCTCAGAACTGCGAAACAATTTCTGGATTGAAGTAGCTGGACCGCTCTTCCACTGAAGTATGCCACTGCGTCGTGCTAATGGAGGGGCGACCATATGAACACCCATCAGTACCTCCCCAGGCTCTGACGTGGAAAGTGCATACGCCACCATTTCCAAGCCACGCCATACTTCCGCTTCACGCAGCATCGCCATTGATGGGCTAGGATCTTTGAATAGGAAAGGTTTCTGGAATAATCGTGAATTTTAGAAAAAAGTTTGTAAGTTTTACTCACGTACAACTTTTTTTTGAGATTTTTAAGTTGCACTGAAATAACATTTCCATTAATGTTCAGGACAAGGAGGCTACTGATAACCTCCCGCCAATGGATCCGAAGAAGGGCGTGTTTTGCACAGGAGGAGGAGGAGTATATGGCCCCTACGGCTACAACAGCGGATATGGACCCTACGGTGGTGGATATGGTCCCTACGGTCGCGGATTTGGTCCCTACGGTGGAGGATATGGTCCCTACGGTCGCGGATATGGTCCTTACGGTGGAGGATATGGACCCTATGGTCGCGGATATGGTCCATACGGCCGCGGATATGGTCCATATGGTTATGGGCCATATGGATATAGAAATGGATATGGACCCTATGGCTACTAAGGAAAAGGCTTTAGTAGCTTCAAAGTCATTACAACAGTATTTCAATTGTTGCATTGTTTTGTTTTCGCTGCAGAAATAAAATATTTATTGAATACCGCTTTGTTTTCGAGCACTCATAAAAGGACGACTGTCGGGAGGTGTAGGAACATAAGGGACAAGAAAAGCAACACATCGATAGGTACCGTTCTAAGAAAAATCATAGCCTTGGAAAGCAGCATAGCCGAAAACCTACCCTGAAACGTAAGCCTTGCTCTATGGAGAGAGCAGCACACTCAAGTATGAACGGAAATGAAGTGGCTTCAAAAAAAACGATAATACTTCTCTTGTAAGGGTGTAAGTTGCATAGAAGGCAACCTCACTTCACTAAATTGAGGACGAGCATATGGTCCCACTGGATGGATACGGATGAATAAAGGGAGTTAGGGCGGTCATGCGAGTTGCCACTGTCCGACGCTTCTCTCTGAAGATGAGAGAGCAGCGCCTGCAATGGTATGGACACCTATTGAGAGGGCAAAAGAATCATCCGATAAGGGGAGCAATGGAACTCGATGCCTAAGGGAGCGGCCAGTATACCCAGGTTGACAGCGCTCACCGGTGCATCGTGACGAACCGGTAGGCTGATATCGGCATTATATCGGAGGCTCAGCATAAAAGATTTGAGAGTGGCGATGTTATAGGATTTTTTGAGTGACTTAGCTAGTTAGAAAATGTTTTTGAGCTTGTTTCATGAGAAGGAGTCCAGAGAGTGGTTTCGAATTACAACCTCAAGGGAACCTAACTGCAACCAATCAATGTGGGTAGGGCAAGTCGAGCTAATTTGGGAAGGAATTCAGGAGCTCGTGAACCCCTTATGTGAAGCCCCACAACAACCTACCGGACAACTGAGCTGGCCGTCATCAGAAGGAATTTATATGCAGCGGTTTGACTGAATCCGCATTGTTATGCTTCATTCATACAAAAAATTCCAAGCAAACATCAACAAATCTTTCATAACCAGCTGTTTTGAAAAACTGCTCAGTTGAATGAAAATAAAAACCCGGCTTTATTTATGCAGCAACCTTTGTGACGAGCCTGTGTCATATGATCGGTGAAGGGATTCGCGGTCCTGTGAATCCTTCCAGATTACTCCGTCAGAAATAAAAAAGAATCCCAGCTGATCACGATCCATATCCGCATATTGTTTCCTTTATACCGAAGAAATTAGGACCTTCAGCTAAAATGAAGTTATCGACGCTCTACTCCCTAATATTTCCATTCTGGATCGTTCTAGAAGAGCGGATCGAGTGTATAACTCAGCCTTCTCGTTCCTTAAGGACTATCTGAGACCGGGCATAACTTCAGAAACAAAAAAGCCGATTTTGAATTCGGCTGGCATCGCAATTTATAAAATATGAAGAAAGGGTAGTCCACTGTAGCGAGAACTGTAGATAGGCTGAGTGTTTCTGACCTGAGCAAGCTCATGGCAAGAAGTTTATTTGCCCTTCCAATAAAGGACCTTCCTGAGTGACTTGGGAATTTGCTGAGTGTTGGCCCTGAGTCCACTCTGAATACTTTCTGATAAGAGCACTACAAGTGCTGGTACAACAAATCGAGGCGTGGCCTAGGCCGGGCNTAATGATTAATAAATGTAAGGAATGAGGGCCCGGCGTAAACCCAGCGGCCCAACTGGTTTATAAAATATGCCAAAAACGTAGCCCGTTGTAGCGAGAATTGTAGGTAGGCTTAGTGATTCTAACCTGAGAAAGCTCATAACAAGAAGTTTATTTGCCCTTTCAAGTAAAGGACCTTCCATGACTTGGGAATTGGCTGAGTGTTGGCCCTTAGTGTTGGCCCTGAGTCCTGAATACTTTCTGATAAGAGCACTTCAAGTTGCTGGTACAACAAATCGAGGCGTGGCTTAGGCCGGGCACAGAATTTTAGCTTTTTTAGATCTCTTTGTTCCATGATAATGACGTGCTCAGGTCATTCAACAAATCGTCCTTGGCAGTATAAAAGCTACCGGTGGCAGCAATGACCACATCAGCTTTCCCTGTATATTCGTTTCATATATAATTAACATTTTCCATTGAAATCTGAGATATTTTGGGTTTTCTGAATTTACCCCCCCCCATAAAGTCATCAGGTTGTCCTATAGGTAGCAGAATAAGCTAGAGTTAAGCTTGAATTCTAGGTCTTCCAATTAAACTACACAGTTTATGACAGAACTTTCTTACTCTCGGCTATGGGGATGTGTTTGACCTAGTAGGACGGAAAAGTGCCTTCACCTCAGTCAAGAAATGAGTTTCAGCTGAAAACTGTAGCGATAGTAAGAGAATTTCTCGTCTCTGGACCATTCAGTTTAGTTTTGAGGTAGCTTGGCTGGATAGGTAGCAGTGCTCAACTAACATTTGCTGTGGATATTACCTAAAGAAACCTTCGTAAGACAATTTGCTCGATTCAGATGTATCGCCTCTGCTTCCTTTTGGTCATCTGTACATTGGTGGCAGCAGCTCCAGAAATGGTTTGTTACGTTTGAGCAGAATTTTTTTCAAATTTATCAATTATTTAAAGTAGCGGTAGGCTGATAGGGAGTCCGGTAGTTATCCACAGACCAGCTCCAAATGCTAGCTGTACCTGTTGTTAGGTCACTTAGAACATTTTACAGGTCCCTTCCAAAGCCGAGAATAAAAATTTAACAACTTAAAGAAGCTCGAGATTACATAATGTGAAAATAGCTTTTTTCTTATTCAGGATAAGGAGGCTACAGACAAGCTCGTGCATACGGATCCACAGTTGGGTGTATTTTGTATTGGAAGAGGACTGAACCCTTATCGATACGGCCCTTACTCTGGATACGGACCTTTTGGATATAGACGATACGGATATGGACCCTACGGCTACTACGGATATGGTCCCTACGGCTATTATGGACCATACGGATACAGACGATTTGGATATGGACCTTACGGCTACTATGGATAAGGCTTCGGTTTTATGTAGCAGCTTTGAAACCATTACAACAGTATTTCAACTGTTGCAATGATCTTTTCGCAAAAATAAAAAATTTCTTCGATACGGTTTTGACTTCAGATCATCGCATCAAGTATAATTATCACGATTCCCCATTTGTCGTCAAAATCCTTATTCGAATGCTTTTGTGACACCTACACGAATTCAAGTTGCTCACTTTCGGGTGAAAACTATTGAAACTGCACTGCTGTGCAAGAAAAAAAAAGCTGACAGTCTCGTCAACTATCGTCCAATCTGTTTGCCATCTGTATTCCATCAACACGCGTCCTTAACAGCGCTGACACAGTGAAGGACACATAGCCATGCAAGCAAGCTTAGCTGTGAAATTTTGGCACCATCTATCACATTCTTATAATCGTTGAACTGTTGCAAGAGAGCAAGACGTTCCGACGGTCCGATGGTAGACCATCGAAATTATCATTGAGCAATTCAATGATGCTCAAGCACTTGACATTTGTCTCCTTGAGCTCTACGTTGAACAATCATGAACTTGAACTTACTAACATCGAAGGATTCTATATCTTTGTGAATCGTTTAAACCTGAATGTTGACTTAGAAATACTCTACTGCAGAATATGTTGAAAAGTCACTCACCAGGGAGCAGGAACTTGGATTTATTTGAACAGCAACCTGAATGACATATCTCTAGCATGTGCCAGAACAACGCCTTGCAGCTCATTTTTAAGGACTAACAAAAGCTTATTTTCCTGAATTTCTACTGAATCGGAAGAAGATCTTGCTTTCATAATGGACAAAATTAGCTCTAGAATTACTGGACAGCACTGTTACTGCGTGACTTTCTCATTTTCTTTCTAACATTCTTTTTTGGTGAGCGAATTGTAGAATAGAGTATACAGTTCCCAGAATCATGAAGCTATCGATGTGATTTCCGAAAATACAGTGTATAGACAGAGGAAGTGCCTATTGTAGAAAGGATTTCTGAACACCTGCTATTTACATAGCTCACAAACTCAGTCTCGATCGCGATAGTGAGATTGAGGTGAACTACGCCAACGACTTTCAAGATTATGGGTAACAGACACAGCTTTGGAGATAGCAAGGCAGATTTCTACATCAGCTGACCTCATAACCCATAAAATGAGCCAAAACACGATGCCGTCCGACCTAGTACGGAATCCATTGTATTTTTTCCCTAGAAGAAGCCCTTTTGAACATTATAAAAAGTTCCTGAAGAGTTTCGGAGAAAATAGGACTTTCTGTAGGGTAATTTCTAGAGAAACTCTCCGATGGATTTAGTCATCTTTCAACCTATTGCGTACTGCGAGTTCCTGAAGAGCCACTCCCTCAGATCAACATCATCATTGTGGCGAAGTTGTTCACTATCCGTTGCTACATTAGCTTTGCTTCTGGGAAAATTTGATCCGTACATAGGGGTTGACCGGATGGAATATTACTCGACAAGGCCCCATGACGGTTCTTCTAATCACTTGCAAAAAGTACCCGATGTGATGCGAGAACCACGCTCGAGAAGACCGAATGTCTTTCTATTTTGCAACAGCGCATGCCGTGGCGTGGCGAAGCAAAGACATCAAAAAATTATGGAACACGGATGGGAGTATTGAAAAGGCATCCGGTTTACTCACGACTTATACCCGTCTGATCACCACTGTCTTAAACCATTGAGACACCATACAAAGGGTCTTAAAGCACTGAGGCACCATACAAAGGTGAGAGAATTTGGTGATCGTTGTCAACTCGAGAATGAAATCGGCTCATTCTTCTTGTAGCACTCGGTTGTCTCTAACAAAAAAGATCATTGGAGATTCATTAGGGAAAAATGAAGTTCGAAAATCTGCCCGACATGCTTTAACACCTTTCTTTCAGTCCAACTGCAATGCAGCCAAGGACACGTACATACAGTACCGTTCAAAAAGAAATCACCTTGAACCTTTTTTGCCATAACTCATCTCGAACTCAATGTTTTTGACTGATTTTTTGATATGTTGTCAACAGTG